AGAGGATCATTTGTGGGAGGTACTGGAGACTCTGAGGAGGGAGAGGCTATATGCCAAATTCTCTAAATACGAGTTTTGGTTGCGCGAGGTGCAATTCTTGGGGCACATCGTCAACCAAAAGGGTATATTGGTCGATCCGGCCAAGATTAAGGTTGTGATGAGATGGGAGGTTCCGAGGACCCCATCGGAGATTCGGACTTTTCTAGGTCTCGCTGGTTATTATCGGAGATTTATTCAGGATTTCTCTAAGATCGTTGTGCCTTTGACCCGCTTGACGAAGAAGAATGTTACTTTTTGATGGGGGCGATCAGTAGCTAACTTTTGAGACGTTGAGACAGAGATTGTGTGAGGCCCTGATTCTCACTCTTCCCGAGGGCATGGATGATTTTGTGGTTTATTGTGATGCGCCTATCTGGGGATTGGGAGTTATCCTCATGCAGAGGGGACATGTGATTGTTTACGTTTCGAGGCAGTTGAAGCCTCATGAGGCTAACTACCCTACGCATGATTTGGAGTTGGGAGCTATAGCTTTTGCTCTCAGAATTTGGATGCACTATCTGTATGGAGTTAGGAGTGCTATCTTCATTGGTCACAAGAGCCTGAGATACCTGATGGATCACTCGAATGTGAACATGAGGCAGGGAAGATGGTTGGATGTGGTAAGGGATTATGATTGTGAAATCTTATACCACCCTGGGAAGGCCAATGTTTTGGTCGATGCCTTGATCCGCAAGCCGACGAGTGCACCTCTTGGGGACTAATGCCTGAGATTGGTTATTGTTTCTCCACTTTTAGATTTCATAAAAGTGGCTCATATGGAGGGTTTGAAGAGGGAAAATTGGAAGGCGGAGCGAATCATGGGGTAGATCTTATTGTTTGTCAAGGATATTCGGGGCTTGTTGACATAGTGTAGGAGGGTTTGGGTTTCGACTACTGGTGGGGTGAGATAGACGGTGTTGAAAGAGGCTCGTAAGTCGAAGTTTTCGATCCATCCAAGGGATACAAAGATGTATATGGATCTGAAGTTGGACTATTGGTAGCCTTATATGAAGATAGAGATAGCTTGGTTTGTAGAGTGGTGCTTGACTTACCGGAAGGTCAAGGCCGAACACCAAAGACCCCACGACAAAGTGCAGACGCTACCCATTCCCATGTGGAAAGTGGAAGAGATCACTATGCACTTCATCACAAAGTTGTCGAGGACAGCACGTGGGGTTGATTCTATCTGGGTCATTGTCGATAGATTAACCAAGAGCACATATTTCATTCCGATTGTCGAGAGTATATCAGTCGAGAAGCTGGCCAACTTTTACATTCGGTAGGTGGTGGTTCGACACGGAGTGCCTGTGTTTGGTGGTTTCGGATCGTGACATTCGTTTTACCTCTAGGTTTTGGAGGAAGTTTCATGAGGAGTTGGGTACTCAGCTGCAGTTTAGTACAGCACACCACCCCCAGAACGATGGGACAGAGTGAGCGGACCATTCAGACACTCAAAGATATGCTCAGGGCATGTGTGCTTGATTTTAGCGGGAGTTGGGATACTTATCTTCCACTGGCTGAGTTGTCCTACAACAATAGTTACCATGACAGTATTGAACGACCAACTTTCGATATGTTGTATGGGAGGAAGTGTAGGACCTCGGTTTGTTTGGGCGAGGTCGGGCATCGGGTCATGGGGAGTACTGATGTAGTGCTCAATACCATCGAGATGATACAGCAGGTGCGTGACAGGTTGCGGGTCACACAAAGTCGACAGAAGAGTTATGTCGACCGACGTCGTTCAGATCTATAGTTCCAAGTGGGGGATTTGGTACTATTGAATGTGTCACCTTAGAAGGGTGTCATCCGGTTTTGGAAACGGGGGAAGTTAGGTCTTCGGTTTATCGGTCCTTTTAGAATTATCGCCCCGGTGGGCAAGGTTGCATACCGTTCGGAGTTGTCTAATGAGCTCAGTCAGATACACAACACTTTCCATGTCTCTCGGTTACAGAAGTCTTTAGCCAATAGTTATGCGGTGATTCCTTTGGATGACATTCAGGTCAATGAGCGTCTGAATTATATAGAGAGACCGATTGGGATTCTCGACAGAAAGATAAAGTCTTTGCGCAACAAAGAGTTGAAACTGGTGAAGGTGCAATGACAACACAGAAGGGGTTTTGAGTGGACGTGGGAGCCATAGGATGAGATGAGAGAGCATTACCCCGAGTTATTTTCAGACGCAGACTTCGAAGACGAAGTGTGATTCTAGTGGGGGAGAGTTGTAACATTCGGATCCCGAGGTACTTTATATTTTGCAAATTTGGCATTTTATAGGATCGCCACGACATGGTGGTAAGGTACCACGACATGGTAAGTCAATTTAAGCTCGCGTAGTTCATTTAATCCACCATGGCGTGGCAGTATAGGCCACGGCGTCGCAGCTGGAAAATGAAAAATCCTATTTTTCGGGTTTTGCTCCCTATTTATAAGAATGAGGAGGCTATATTTTGCTTACCCTCAGCCTTTATCAGACTTGTGAAACCCTAAATCTCTTTCTCTCTCTCTCTCTCGTATTTTGAGCCTTTGTTGGTGTTCTTGGAGCATTGGAAGGAAGAAAGAAGAAGAAGTGAGCTAAGACTCAGCAAACTAGTCCTCATCCTTGGTGTTAGCAATCTTTTAGACCTTTGTAAGTGTCCAAGACTTGATTTTTATCAAAATAGATTGCTAGATCTTATGTTTTGTCCCTTAATCTTCATGTTTTGTGAGATGGAATGATAAGATCTCATAAATCTTGCAACTTTATGAATCTATAGGACTTTTGGGTATGATTATTGGTTTGGATCTAGTTTCTTGATGGGTTTTGAGCCATGCATGGGATTTCCATTGAAAAAAAAAAACCCTCTTTTTGGCTCATTATGCCTTCAAAACATGCATTGGACATGCATGTCTATAAAGCACCAACTTTTATGTTGGATTAGGTATTAGAATATGTTCTGGAGTAAATAAGTTATGGACTTTTTGGAATAAGTGCTTAATAGGGAAAGCCATGTCATATTTAGCTCCTTTGAATCTAGGGTTTGAGGTTTTGACCTTGTGGGTGGTCTTATTGGGTAAAGTTGGAAACTTTATCCTTTAGACCTTGTTTCGGACCAGATCCAAAATTTAGAGCCTTTGGGATCGAAGAAAACAGTTTAATCCATTAAGTTGTTGAAAACCCAGTGCTCACGGCGTGGCGTTGGGGAAAATCATGATTGGATGTTACTGGAGCTCCACGACGTGGCCATAGGTGGCCACGACATGGAAGTTGACTAAAGTCAACGTTGACTGTTGACTTTGACCATTGACCTTTGACTTGAGTTGACTTTTGGTCAAGCACCTATTTTGGAGGAAGAGCTCAAGGTTTATTTGGTTTGATTGATTAGGTGGTGCGTAGCAGCGGTACTCTTTCAGTGAGAGCAGTAGCAATAGAGCATTTTTCTGTGAGATGAGTCTTATCACCACACTAGTGGGTCAAAGGCACCAATGTCGACCCACTGATTCATATGTATAGGATGTATGTGACTATGTGAATATTATTGATATGATTGTATGATATATGCATGGAGCCAAACTGGGCTCGAATTCATTATGGATTCGGGGTTAATACAGACTTGGGGGTTGATACGGACCCGACACAACTACTTGTTGTTACATGGGGTCAATACGGACCCGACACAGCCACGTGTTGTTATATTTATGTGTATGTTGTATGTGGTATTTTGGGAAAGCTCACTAAGCTTTGTGCTTACAGTTATGTTTATTGTTTCAGTACTTCCGGTACGAAGGGGAAGGGTCTGGTGTGATGGCACAGCATCCCCCCTCCCCTTATGTTTCCGCGATTATGATTTCTTTTACTCTAACGTTTTGGATAGTTCGTATCTTGGATGTTTTCGATACATATGACGTATGGGATTGATGAAATTGAAACTGAAAATTTTATCACATTTTTTTGCGACGTTACACACTTTGTTCAAAATAAAGTCTCGATGGTTCAACTGTGTTACATTTCCTTCTGTGTTCTCAATATGTTGGCATCTTCACCACGAGTTTTCTATTTTCCTTTTTTTCTCGACTTTCGGTCCAGTTTGAATGTTCGGACATACCCTCTCGTTCAAACTACAGGTGGGATGTTACTATATATTTATTATTGTAATTATCATTTATTATTATTGGCCCCAAAGCCTACTCTATAAATTTCCTATATAATGTTAGATAATTGAGATAAAAGAGGACTTAAGCAAAATATTTGCTATAAATTGTTACATATGATCTCTATAAATGTCACTTGTCAAGGCGAAGTGTACAAAGGACCGAAGGAGTATAAGTATTGGTTTGTGCTTAAGAACTGGTATAATCTTTAAAGATGCGTGAAATGTACGTGTTATATGTTAGGCGTCGTAAGAGCCATGTTGTAGAGTAGTGAATGATTTTGAAATCCAGTAACATATGTATTACTAGGTATTGAGTAAAAGAAATACTATGCTAAATAATAAAGTGCTTCATTTTATTATAAATTTATAGCATATATCTTTAAATATGGCCTTTTAGTATATGTTTTGCAAAATGAGAACTTAATAAAAATATTTTTTTATTTTATATATAATTGTTATAGCAACTAACAGATATAAATTGTTCATTATATAAAAATTTATGCTATTATAGTATTATAACATATTTATTTATTAGAAAATATTTAACGTTAAGCAAAATTTAAATTTATTAAACTCTAATAAGTAAACATACATGAAATCAATACAATTGGATGCTACATAATTTAATTTATTAGAAATTAATATACTTCACTAAATCAGTATAATGTAGTGATAGAGTCGAAAAACAAATAATTTAAAAAACAAAGATAAAAATGGTTAAAATATCAAAATAATTTATATTGATATTTAAAAAAAATAAAAAAAAATGATTTATTGACAAGGTGGTAACCTGGAGTACACAATCACAGGCATCATTACACTCATATAAAATTGACATTTTATAAAAAAATAAAAATAAAAAAAACACAAGATAATTTATAAATCTGGCTTTCAACATTAATACAAATTCAGTCGGATTGGATCAAAGTAAATTTAAATTCCAGTATATGATGATATTCATATGAATTCTTTAAAAAAAAACAAAAAACAAAATAAAAATGATGAAAAAGTAGCATATATATATATAGCCATGGGAACAGATTGAAATTCCATGAAGAACCTTGATGAATTGGTAGATGATCTAGATGTGTTTCACGAGTTCTTCAAATGTGTTCATGGCAGAAACCGGCAATCCAAGCAACACATTCACACTTTTCCTCTCTTCTCCATGAGATAAGAACAGAATTACTTCTTTCTCCGGCAATGCCACCGGACCTGACATCAGCGGCTCCCCCCACCCAAAATCGTTGGCGTGGAATGATAACTTTGACCATGTCGTAATCAACAGCGTCGACGACAGCGACGGCCGCGCTCGTGTAACCTCGAAATAATCAATCGCCGATCTCATGTAATCGTCTGTAACCATTTTCACGGAGTCGTGAACTAATTTCACGGTGAAAGACAGCGGATTTCCGACTTGTTCTCCCGCCGTGCATATAGAGTTAGTTAGAACGATGCCGTTGCCGCAGTATCCTTCCGGCAAATTCGGTTCGAATCTGGAGCGTCCGTCTACGGCGAAGAGGAGTTTCGTTTTCTGATCCGGCTTCATTTTCAGTGATTCGGTTCTAGCTTTCCAGACGAAAGCCGATAGAGCTTCAAAAGTGGTGCAGCTCTGTACGCCGCCGTCTGCGGTGGCTTTGATTTTGAGGTTTTTGAGGTCCTCCGGTGAGAAACAGAATGAGCGGTAGGAAATCTCTTCTTTGTAGAGATCGGCGGTGTTGGATATGTCTTCAATCTCTTCGAATTCATTGTGAGAAAACTCGACCACCGGAGGATTTCTGGCATTCAAAATTGTCCGATCGAGGAATGGCTTGACTTTTAGCGGTAAACCTCTTGCAGTTCGACTCCATGAGCTGACGAATTCCATGGCCGCAATTCCATCAAACAAATTATGGTTCATACCCAACCCTAGCACAAATCCTCCACATTTGAATTTTGTCACCTACCAAATTTTTGAAAAAATATATATATTATTTATAATTTAAACTAAATAATAACCAAAATATTTCAAAAGTTTCAAAAATATATATATATATATATATATATATATATATATATATATATATATATATATATATATATATATATATATCACATTGTATGAGAGCATATTATGAAAACGACTAACCTGAACAACAACAGGAGGAATATCAAGAATATTTTTAGCACCCGGTGTATCGTAAACTAATTTACCAAGTGTAACTGGATCTGGCTTTGTATGATCACCAAGTTCTTTGATATCACAGTTAGCTTCAGCTTCAACAAACACAGCACCTTCATTAGTGCAATTCACGATGAGCTTTCCCTCAGAGCTAAAAGTCAACCTTCCAGCCGCCGGATAATAATGGACAAGAACCTTAGACAAAGCATCCTTAATCACCTCAGCCGCCATTTCATTTCCTTTTTCCTCGGACTTGAAGCAATAAATTGTACGCACTATGACTGCGATATTTTGGTCCAAATTAGAGAGGAAATAAAGACCCCTTTCGGTTTCCTCTGAGGGTTGAACAAGTGTCGGCTCTCCTATCATTGTAACAGACAGTTCGACTTCTTGGTTGTTGTCGAAGGTTCCATGACTTCCCATTTTTAGCAGACTTATTAACCTGTAACTTAACCATCAAAAGAAAAGATTTCAATAAAGCGGATTATATATATATATATATATATATATATATATATATATATATATATATATATATATATATATATATATATATATAAAATATGAAGTGAAGATAAGTGTGAGTTTCAACATGCATATGATCATACACCAACATGCTTGTTTCATGAATATACCTCAAATATGATGCCTTCACTTTGAGATATGAAAGTGGAAAACAAAATTCGTGATACAATTGGGAAGAAATTATGGGTATTATATAGAGTTGAAAGAGAGAAATGGGAAGATGAACAACACGACATTTTTGGTTAACAACAAAATAGAAAGTGACGTGTGGTCATATATTTGGGGGGTTTCTTTCATTATTAGTTTGCCTTACACATTATAATTAGAGAGGGTGGAGAAGACTTTAAAATACTGCAGCATTTGTCTTGAATACAGATAGGAGTTGTTACAAAAAAATTGTTACAATATCATAAGTTTGATAGATTCACGTAAAGTTAATTAGGTTTTTATTTGTTTTGAACGGCAGAAATTTTACATAAAGTTGATTATTTGATTGTACCATGTAGTTGTATAAAGGATTACTTATAGTCTTATTTGTTCACGTGATAATATGTGAAGGAACTATCTATTCAAATAAAATATATATTTTTAATTGGGAAATTAAAAGACTACGAAATTCGAAACTAGGTTACTTTTGAACTCCGCATTCCGCAATTAGTTTCAAACTCAATTATTTTGGTTTTCATCTTTAAAATTTGTTTTTTTTTTCATAAATATTTATCAATTTCGAAACTCGTCTATCATGTTTATAGTCTAGAACAGTGTTGATTTAAATATCTTCAAATGTCCTAGACGAGTCAGAAAAAAAGACTTTATCGCTATTATAAGTTTTTTATTTTTAAATTATATATATAATTGGTCGTTGAAAAACATTTTATAAGATTCTTATGTTGTGTAAACATCGTATAAAAAATATAATTGTGATATTTTAATTGTATTTGGTGTGGGGGAGGGTGTAGTTGGTAGGGTTGGCCTCCAAGATTATATTTGCTTCGCTAACTCTCTTACCCTCCACATCTAAAGTCTAAACACCATGCACGTTGAATCTTCAACAAGACTTGAGCACTGTTTTCCTTTCTTTTTCTTTTTTCTTTACAAAAACTACAATATTTATTTATTCATCAAAGGATAATTAATTTTTCTAATAACTTTTCAGCTTCTCAATTTTTAGACAGCTAATTACAATTTAATGATAATTAACATTTACAATATGACAACCAAACAATAAAAACCAAAGAAAACTTACTCATTTCTTAGCATTCAAGGGATACTGATTAATAAAATCAACCACCAAAACAGTGATCATTTGCTAAATCATTAAATTTGATTCTCAACCTCCAAATACAGATAGAATTTTTGCTAATTTTTCATAAAGGTAATTATAAAGGCACATAAAAACTATTAAAATGGAAATAATCAATTGAGTCGTACATGACGCAATTATAAACATCAACCACTAAAACAGTGCTTAATTTCCAAAATAATTTTGTTGCACATGCATCAATAAAAAGTCATATACTCTAATTAAAATCCATAAACTAATAATCCAGTCAATAAAAAAAGTAGAGAAAAAATTTATATCATCAAAAACCTAATAAATAATTTTAAAAAAAAAATAACTTCAAAACATCCCAACAAAACAGACTCTACTGGTCTATGGTACAAATAACAAATAAAAAAAAAAAGTCAAAACTTAAAAAACACATTATGAATCACTGTCCTTGCTGTCATCCTTGTCATCATCCTTCTCCTCGTCAGCATCATCATTCTCCTTGTTGTCATCCTCGTCATCATCCTTCTCCTTGTTGTCATCCACGTCATCACTGCTGTCGGCCTTTGCCAGCTCAGCTTCTTCTTTTTCTTCTTCATCATCAGACATGTTGTTTATGACATCAGTGATTATGGCCTTCACTTCAGCTTTTCTGCTCAATAAATCCTGACCAAAATGTGTACCTAAAACAACAAATTAGAATAAATTACACAAATGGCCCCTATGGTTTGGGGTAATTTGCACGCTTGGTCCCTAACTTGTTTTTTTAACTCGGAAGGTCCCTATTATATGTTTTTGTTACACGTCTGGTCTCTACATTTTATACATTTTAGATAAGACAGCATAACAAAAACAAAAAAATAGGGATCTTCTGAGTTATTAGGGACCAAATGCATAAATTGCCCTAAACCATAGGGACAAAAAAAGTTCATGACATTTTTCAAAATTAAACAATGTAGAGAAAGAGAAAGAGAGAGAAATTTAACATACCAAGTTGTTTGATAATGTCTGATAAAGTTGCCTGAATTACAAAAGAAAATTTTACATTAGTGGCATAATCGTAATTTGTGTAACAAGAAAAAAAAAAGTTTTAACAATTTGATTGACTTACAGTGTTGAAATCAACTTCCTTCAAGATTTTAGTTACAACAGCATGCATTTCTTCATTAGTGGGTTCTGTTTTTGCCTTTTTATTAGTTTTTCCTTTTCCTGTTAAAAAAAAATTATTAAAAAACAGATATTCAATTTATGAAGAAAAAAAAACAACCATATATGCCTTTACCTTTTACAGTGTCTGACTTTTTGACTTTCTTTTCTTCTTTGGGACTCTTCTTTGATTTAGAAGAGGAAACAGACACAGAAACAGGTGTCTTTTTATTGGATTTAGTTTCTTTTTTAACAGATTTTGATTTTCCTCCAGAATCTTTCTTGACACTTTTTTTTGAAGAGCTTTTTTCACTTGTGACATGTTTTTCTTCTTCCTCTTCTTCTTTCTCTTCTTCCTGTTCTTCATTATCATTGTCTTTGTTTGACTTTTCTTCTTGGTCAACGCTTTCAACTTTGTTCTCATCTTCCTCATTGGATTCATCTTCTTCACTCTCTGAAACTTCATCTTCTTCTTCTTCTTCATTGTCTTCTTCTTCCTGTTTCTTTGAAACACGTTTGCGTTTTTCTCCAGATTTTTTCTGAAAAAAAAAATTAATTAAAATAGATGCAATCAGAAATATATCAAGAAAATATGAATCTTTCTTATTTTCCATTTCCAATTGCACTTTATCTTTTTCCAATCAAAACAAAAAAGTTTCATACATTTTTTCCAAATTAACAATTTTTGACATGACATAAGTATATAAAAAGTCAAAAATGTAACGATTTTTAAGTATTTTGCTTTTGAAAAATACATATTCAAGATTTTAACAAATTATTATAAGCTTCAAAATACAAAATAATACAAAACTGTAAAAGTTGAATAAAAAGACAAACCGTTGTTGGGGTTTTGCTCTTTCTTGCCTTTGATTTTTGCTTTTTACTTTTACGTTTCTGAAAATTAAATATAAAATAAAAGTTTAGCTTAACATTGCCATTGAATTGTCACAATATATTAAATCCAACCATTTCTATTTTATTAAGGGAAAAAAAAAACCTCTTCTTTTTCAGAAAGGAGAACTTCAGTTGTAGCATGTGGAGATTGTAGAAACTCTAACAATTTTAATGCAACTTCATCCTGAAAATATACAAACATTGATATAAAATTCAAAACATTTTATGGTTTTATATTTACTGATATGAAATTATGATTAAATGGATGATGATTTACCTTTTTGGTGGTTTTGTTAACTTGAAGATTTAGAATATCACAAAAGTCAAACAACTTTTCTTTAACACATTTTTCAAGCTTCTCTTTCACTTTTAACCTCTGTTTTTCCTGCTGTTTATATAAATCAACAACACATGAAACCTTTTTATGAATTCAAGCATTCAACAAATTGATATTCAAGTAATAAATATTACATAAAGATTAATGTTATACCTCATCATCAGCCCATACAAAGCCAGAGAACATGCCAATGTTCTTCTTCAAGATTTTAGGCTGAAAAAATATGCATCATAATCAACAAATCAGAAGCCACAAAAACTTAGATTTCATAAATATGAAAAAAGATGAACAGATTGCTTCATCTGTTGATTTTTTACCTTTGTTCGTTTTCCAAAAAGGATGCTATGCAGTAAGTTCAAGTTATCATCAACTTTCCTCTTGGACAGCTTGTAAGCCACTGAAAATACATATACATAAAGATTTGCATAAACAACATAAAGATATATAAATATGGTCAAAGTCCATATTAGATAAACAGGGTTCGATTGTAATGCTCATAAACCCTAAACCTCAGTGAAAATACACTTCTAAAGTGTGTGTATATGCTTCATGGCTTATCATGCTACTAACAACACAGATCATAAAGTGACATGGATATGATAAAAAGAAAGATAATTCTAGACCAATATCATGTGTGATACATCTACACAGAGCTATAATCAGTTATAAAGGTAAGGACATGTTAGAACCAGGTACCCAAACTAGATGATAATAGTATTTGACAAACAATCAGGTACTGTTATTATAGTTTTTTTTCCTATGAATGATTAAAGAGCTTCGAGAGTTTATTCTTTTTAGTAATTTTTCAAATCCAGCTTTAGAACTGAGCATAACTCAAGCACAGAGATAATCATGATATGTACCGTTTGGAATGTCCTTGAGCTGAGTTCCAGGGCCCTGTATCCATTCGTACAAACGCGAGTAAGAAAACTTACACAATTTCTAATCAGAAAAACAATGAAAGAAAAAGAGGATTTCCATCGTAACATACCTGTTGTATGGAAATCGGTTTGCTAGCAGAAAGAGTGCCGATGGCCGTATAACGTTCGACGGTCTTCCTTTCCCTGGTTGGCCTTTCAGTCGGCGTAGCAGGTGATTTAGAACTCGAATCGGTCTTCTTTTTCTTCGAGCTGCCTTCGGCTTTTTTCGCGCTATCTTCTTCTTCATCATCTTCGCTCTCTTCGTCTTTAGCTTCTTCTTCATCATCGCTCTCTTCGTCTTTTTCTTTAGTCGCTTGCTCTTCTTCGCCTTCCTTTTCGGATTCCTCCTTGTCCTTCATTTCGACGTCGGGGACGTCTTCTCGTTTTTCACTCTCTAGGGTTTCCATATCGGAAGCCATTAAAACCCACAAAAGTCAATAATTCAAAACCTGTGTAAGTGTAGATTTGTGTTGGAATTCAGATGCTGTTTGTGTATGTATAAAGAATCACGAGTACAGATCCAGAAACACCCGAAAACCCTATAAGGTGGAAGGAAAGATCCCGCCGAAATTAGTTAAAAGTTTTGGGCTATT